TTTGGGGAGGCAGGCAGGTAGGTGGGCCAGCCTGCAGCTGAGCTCGGTGGAGTATTGGTGAAATAGACCCGAGTCCGGATGCTGTTTCATCCATCGTCTCCCCTCCACAAAAGGATGGAGTTGCCATCCGGGGTCTGCATGCTGGCCCCTGCACGGGCCTCCGGGTTTCGGATGGTTCTGGAGAATGAGCCTACTTCCTGGATCGACAATCGCGTCCCTGCGAATTCTGGTTTTGGTTTTGAAGCGAGTCTTTGGGGGGCAGTGCTTACTTGTTGCCTCCTGTAAGGGCTCCCCGTTTCAAAAGAGCTCGTTATTCTTTCTACTACTTCCCTCTGCAGCCCCTGCAGAAAAGCCACGCCAAACCGGCCCCATTAAACGCCAGCCTTTAGGTATTTGGAAAGGACTTCTTGCGGCCCCCCCCCGCCCCCGTGTTGTCGCATGGAATCAAGGAGCAGTTATGCGTAAGATTTTGTAGAAGATTCGATGGGCCTGAGCAAGTCCTAAATGGAGCTGTTGTCCAAAAGCAGGTGGCCTGTTGGTTTGCATTTCTGCTTTCAGAAAGGAAATCCGCGCAGTATATTGTTAGAAGTTAGGGGCCTACTCCCCTCCCCCCCGCCTCCCCACGAAGTTAGACTATTTGATTCTGTTTCCTTTACCTGGTCTTAAGTTTTAAAAGTCAGGAAAAGTGACTACAGCCTTGTTTCTTTATTAAAGCTTTCGATGGCTTTTTGGTTCGTTTGAGATACAATGGAAAATGGGTTAAATCTATTGTGTCATGTTCTATGTTAGGAGGAGTCATAAATTCAAAAGAAAAAAAATAAGGTGTATCTAATGACACTGCTGTGTACAGATGACTGCCTGAAAGGGTTATCAAAATAGCTAATAACTTCTAGGTATCAAAGAAACCTCTGTAGTTAGTGGCCCGCCATCTGACGTGTTTTTCACTGCAGCGCGATTAAAAGGTTACCCACACCGTCCGTGTATTAACATACAGAGCACACATGCGGGGAGGAGCTCAGATGCAGGAGAGGACTGAGGTGCTCTAACTTAGGGCACTGATACCAGGACACTGAGACCTGACGACCCTTTGGGCACATAAAGATTGAATACCTGTCATCCAGATACTATGTAAACGTCCAAATCTGTTTCCATGGGGATAGGTTTGTAAGCTGGCCACATCATTTGAACTTACATGCACTTAAATCATTCCAAGCCAAATGGTTTCAAAAATTGGGTTTAAAAAAAACACACAAAAATGGAAGTTTAATCTTCAAGGACTAACACATCTGGTAATATTTGCCATTATTTGGTAGGAATAGGGTTCTTAGGTTAGGTTAACATGCTAAACATGTTTGTAATTTGTTAAAATATCCATCTGGCTTCTTAGAAAAGCACTGATCCTCCTGTATATTTTATTTAATGTTCAGGTCAGTTTTTAAAGCTGAAGAGAACTTGTCCAATTGGTGTATTTTTTCAGTTTCCCTTTTTGAGAGAAGCTCAGGTGTTTCTATGAAATGCTTTGACCTTATATTCATTAACCACACTCCTTTCTGGTGAAGTTGAGGTAGATCCTTTGTATGTTCATGTCCTGCAATAATTTAAAAGTTTAAAATTTAGCCCAGCCAATGTGGCTCGGAGGTTGAGCATCCACCCATGAACCAGGAGATCACAGTTCGATTCTCAGTCAGGGCACATGCCCAGGGTTGCAGGCTCAATCCCCAGTGGGGGACGTGCAGGAGACAGCTGATCGATGATTCTCTCTCATCCTTGATGTTTCTATCTCTTCCTCTCCCTTCCTATCTGAAATCAATAAAAAAATACATATATTTAAAAAATAAATAAATAAAAGTTTATAGTCCACCAGTAGTAGAAAGAGGTATCTTCCATTTTTGTGTAAGTATCCTTTCCCCTTTTATAAGGGTTATTCTCTCAATTGGGAACTAATTTAATCTTATTCAATAATTTGTCCAGTAATCCTGCAAAGACCAACTTTTCAGGAAGATTTAGAATAGCACAGTAGTTTTATGAAACCTAAGTATTTAAGAGAACAGTTCCCACTGCTCTTCTGATCTCCTTTAGAGGCATTAGATGACAGCTCTTGTTTCTCTTCAAGTTTTAAGTCTCAGGTCACAACAGTGAATGCTGGAAGGGGAAAGTACCTCTGCAAAGTGACCAAACAAATGATTGAGGAAGAAGGCTAAACTTTTTAAACTCTTAAAGATCACATATAGTAGTAAAGTGCAAAAGTCTTAGGTGTATATGTATGTAGCTCAGTGATTTTTACAAGTGTACACACCTGTGTAACCATTACTCAGCTCCAGATGTAGAACATTATCAGTACCCCAAACTCCCCCTCATGCTCTTCCCATTCACGACCTTCCAGATCAGCTTTGCCTGTTTTGAACTTTATACAATATATGTTCTTTGGGTGGGGGGGGGG